AGTCACGAATGGGTGTTTTCAACGGGACTTTCGTTTTGCTAGACTAAGGTTGTAAAAGTCCCTCACGGGAATTCAACTATTTGTTCAAACTATTCATTGTACACTCGTCCCCTGTTCCAAATCCTAGAAGTAATTAATGTGTCTGGAAGCATAATTTTCCCCTGAATGTGAAGTACCTCACATTATTTTTGCGGTTACAATGAAAAATCTACTAGTCTGGCTATTTGTAGTTCGTCGTCGAAGAAGGTCTTGACACCTCAATACCATGCTGAAATTTTAGGAATAGTAGATGAACAATAGCTGTGATATTAGTTTGAAACTAATTAGTTTTTGGACGTAATACAATGTTCATAATGCTACTGAAAACTCTTCGACGGACTGGACAGAATCTCCGATAAATCTCGTGTTCTTGTATAACTTCTAAGCATATATTGGCCTACGAGTGTTGTTCGTGCTTTAGATAATATCATGTCAATAGGGGCTACTTTACTTCCAACTGAACCCTTCAGAAGAATGATATGCTAAGCGTATTGTTTAGATTCTTGCATACAAAAGGTGCGAACAGGCAAATGCCATTAGCATGTTTTTGTTAGTAGACTCAGTGACTCGATAAGAAAACGCGTGTTTACCACACACAGTAGTGTGTGAACGGTCAGTGGGGGATGACGCAAGCAGACAGTGAAGAGAACCGAAGTGAATGTAGAACCTTTTTTTAGAAAAATGATCATTGGTCCTCGGAGAATGCTGTCAGGAAATTTCGGACAAAACGAATAAATGGCGAATTTACCATAACTTCTAGCAAGATATCCGAGCAGTTGTCCAGATTATCAAACGACCGATGAGTTTATACGCTTTTCCACAAAAGTGCGTTCCAAACGGAACATAGTCGAGTATATTTTCTACTTTTTGTATCTGTCAGCCACTCTGTCACAATGGCAATTATTCCTCATACCAATCACACAAATGATCAGAGTGATTTATCTAAAAAAAACCAAAGCATGTCAGGGTGTTGAAATGACATCCGGGGTGCTTTACAAAGTTCAACAAAGATTCCGCAAACTTCTTCTTATAAAGGTAGCTACTCAAAAGGTTGCTGAAAAATCTTCGACAGCCCACAACCGGTTTCGCCCTTCTTGGGGCTCATCAGATAGGCGCAGTCCTCGAGTTTCCATCAACCTTACAGCACGTTAAGTTGTAGAACATCATAAACGGGATATTCAGTTGATTCTGTCGTGAAAACCAAATTGATTTTCAAATGAGTGTATTTCTCAAATTCTGAGGAGCAGTTGGTAATTTGGAAAGTTTGTCTATGGACGATTCGGTTGCAGTGGAAGTTTTTGAAAACAAACTTGTGAGTAGTTTCCTTTATGAAAATATACTGCGATATCTCGGATATCGTGCCAACTGAATCCTGAGGCGGCCTGTGTGCAGCACATTCAGTTGTAGAATATTATAAATGAGAGATTCAGTTGAGTCTCTCGTGAAAACCAATTGATTACGCAAAGTTATTTTTTCTTGACTTGCCAAGCTTAGACGGTGCAGATACCCCCTCTCAATCCTAGTTGCTAGTAGGTGGAGCTACGGAAGTGAAGCATCAATTTCAACACCGATATTGCTGTCCTTGATGACGATGAGCAATTGGAAATTGCTTTCGCTAAATTGAGGACGTTTCTCCGTGTTAACTCTAACTTGACCTTATGAAAATTCCCCCATTCATTTGCTTACTTCGCCTATGTACTTTTGACCTCCAGTTGTTTTGCTTATTCGTACCCGCCACTCACTTCACCACAGAGGCCGTCCTTTCCGACACTTGTGTATTGTGTCTGTGCGTGAATGTGCGCTGCTAACCTACTACCCATGTGCGAGGGCGATCTCGTTTGCTGAGCCTGCCTTGAATTGTTTTCTCAGGAGTTCCGTGCGATCGCACGTCCAATGAGAATCACGAGACTGTCGTCAGGACGGACGACCGCAACCCACGCTATTGAGCCGGCCTTCCGCTCGCCGTTGTTTGGTATGCGGACGTGGACACTGCACTGTGCCGGTCAGTGACAGACCTGTGAACTACGAACGTGAACAACTGAGGTTCGTTGCATACAGTTGCTTACCCTTGTGCAAATAGTGCCGTAGAATCACGAACCCAATTCTTCCTCTTGAAATTCGGGATTGTCAAACCTACGCGACAGTCAAAGTTCCATATCGGGAACCTCAACATGGCGTGTCAAAGTTTTATACATTCTTCACATCAAGTACAGCACAATAAGGTCTGCATTCGAGTCCACTAGTCTTTATTATTGTGCACGGAAAAAATGGGGCTGAAATACTAAATTTAGACTACTCTTCTGCGTATAGTAAGGTCACCCACCAAGTCGCACAGTACGTTAGTAGCGTCATGGAAAAATATGGTAATAAACATGGCTAGTGCGGTTGAAAATTTCAGGTATACAAAATCTGCCTAAGCTTCCACGCTTCGCTAGCTAGTTAGATTGACAGGTGTCAGTCGCAAAAAACGCAAATGTCATTTTTGAGGGTTAGTTAATAGACCGCTTCTTACAACGACTTGCTGGAACAAAAGCATAATAGAACGTTACAACCGAACAGCTAGAGATAATCAGTGATCCACCAACTTTGTGAACTGATTCGCTTACCCAAACTTCCATCTTCTCTTGAAATGGCATAATGGATCACTTAAATTCAATCTGCTTGTGCAGGGTTAGGCCAACGGACTAATATAAGCGTCCACAGGTACCCACTAACCTTGTTTTCAAGAGGAGATTTCGCTCCAGTTTTAGCTCTGACCCTAACAAATCTTTTGTTCTAGTTTCATTTAAGACATGCTTTTCCATGTTCGCCCATCTGTAACCGTAAAGATCACTCACTCGCGAGGCGAACCGGAAGGGATTAGCTGCTTCGAACTTCCTTTTCAACTCTGCCGCACTGACTGTACAGTCGGAATGTCCTAGGGCCACACTTCCTCCTTGCATCTCTGCTGGTTTTTTATTATAGTAGACAGATAGTTCTTCCTAAATGGGCTTCGTTTCTTAGAAACTTTTTTTCTTGATGGGCCGGATGGCTGATGAATCCCCACTAATATCGGTGTTTACCGTCTGCCCTCGTTTATATCCCATAAAGTGCTGACGCTATTTAGAGCGCCATTCCCTTTCCAACTGATGTAACGATGAACTTCAGGAGTGGTTGGGCTAGATTGTTAACTACAGTGTTGTATTTATCGACAGATTTCATCTGAAGACACGCCACTGAAACCTAAGATCTCCTTTAGGAACCAAATGCATCCAACGGAGTGGACTTTGAAGTGGCCAGTCAGCACGTGACCACATATACTCTCCAAACCCGAAGTTATCGCGATACTGTTAAACGCCCGTCACCGAATGGCCCCTTGGTTAATTGTAAAACGCATTTCTGAGGATTCCCAACACGACTGGAACAACTGTATGGTGTCTCTAGACATGTGAATGTTGATTAACAACAGTAAAAATGGCGCTTCGGTAGTCACGAATACAGTTCCATAAATATCCTCAAATTACACATTGGTATTGCTCCTTTGTTCTTTTGAGCTAAAAGGTATAGAAGTGTATACTAACACAAACTTAAAGGTAAACCATTCTGGATCGATCACGTTCAGGTAGTCCATAAAGTGTTGACTCATGATCCAGATGCAACAACCCGAAACTTCTGGTCGGAGGCCTTTGTTGCGTCGGGCTAGGTTTAACATGATCTTACATCCTTACCTGAAAAAGGTACTCTTGTCTGTCATCGCGTTTTTTCTTACAATTTGCACACTTCCTTGATTCAACTCTAATTAGCTGCGTCGTAGTTCCTTGCTGAGTGAAAATGAACTTCGGTTAGTTGCACCTCAACTTTCCGCCATATCTGGGTTTACCTATCGCCCATCAATTGTTTCGTTCACGTGACCAGGGGTGACCGAAATATATCGTTAACTTGAAGAAGTCATTAATCGCACCTACTGGGCAGGCTGCTAGTCCATTGGGTTCATCCTGCCTTTGGCAAATTTGAATCTGGTCAAACTATCTTTTACAGCGAGGCTAGTTTATGGTAGCACGCTGGACGAAACAACACAACCAAACTTATTTTTGTAGAGAACAGTAAGTAGATATCAGGTTTTCAGTGTGCTAAATTTGAAACGTTTTGGTCTGTGTTCTCCAAATGTGTGAAGCAAGATGGGTGTGTTTTGGTTAGGGCTTCTCTGTAAGAACATGTAATAACGTGCATTTTACTTAAAAAATGTGTACAACTACCAAGTAACATTAGGGGAAGTGATTGAGAATCATTAATGATGATATGCAGAAATACTGTCAAACCCTGTATCGCACATGTGGAAATTACCAACTATCTTACACAACTTTCTACCAACTAATTTTGAACAAATCGTTTCCAAGACGTTTCGCATTTAGGTGACCCGCAAATCCAGACTGTCGTTGGTTAGAGCAACCGACCAATCAAAACTTAGTGAAACAACCCACCAGCAAGTTTGCAACCAATCAGTACGGAACCAAAACTTCGCCATCAAATGGCTGTCGACACACGTTCAGAGTAGATTGCCAAGAGAAATTGTGAAGAATGTGAACGAAGTTTACTCAGTTATGGGGAAATACATGCATTTATTCCAGTTGTGTTTGTTACTGCAATGTTTTTTTCCTACTGCGACAGAAAACGTTTCCGAAACGGAGTCGACCACAGTGGCTGATCTCTCAGTTATCAGCAGATTATCAGACCAGAACACCACATTCCAGAATAATTCCGTACAACCACAGGGGAAAGGGCGATATGCCTATTTATATCAGAACCTGAAAAAGTATTTTCTGAAGTGGTATCTCCCTCTGGTATTGACTCTTGGGATATTTGGCACGGTCTTCTGTCTGATATTTCTTTTTCTATCACGTCTATTCCCAGTGAACATGCTCATTTGGTTGGTGAGCATATGCGTTGGAGACTTCCTTGTCCTGATACTAGAAGGTGTGTGGATGCTGCTGAAGGTTTGGCGGGATTTGGACATTCGTGATTACAATACCGTTGGATGCAAGCTTCACCTCATTTTGTCTAATTACATGTTCTATTGGTCAGCTTATATGCAGACCATGTTATCACTTCAACGAGCATATCTAATAATTCGTCCAATTCAGGCTCGTAGCAATGGTCCAAATGTATCGTGGTTGGTTCTAATTTGGATTGGCCTCTCCATCCTACTAATTTTTCCAGTACTGCCATATGCTATCTTCTACGATATTCGGAAAAATAGTTATCACAAAGACGACTGTGATCCGCCCGAAGGAAATAACGAGGTTTTCCAGGCTGTGACACTAATTGATTTCATTTTGTGGGGACTAATTCCGCTGATTGGAATGACCTCAGCCACTGCTATCATATGCTGGAATATTTTTCGTGTGCGGCATACATTTGGACTTGGGTTTTCGGTGCGAAGTCGAACGGCTAGCGCGACATCACCACTCACTGGCACACCCTTCTTGAGCGTTCCAGGTTGTACGAATACCGGCGACCCATGGGCAGCACAAATGCGACTGCGGACAATTTCTTTGAACAACCCACCAGGCAGACTTCTGGAATTCTTACAGGATCGGAAATCGCTTCAACGTTCACCGATTCGTACACATGTTACGCGTAGCGTAAGGTCGACGGAATCAATCAATACATGTGGCCACATACCTTTAACAGTCCACATGCGAGGGAATACGACATCCGCCTATCAACGGCCTTGCCGTCGTCGTCGTCGTAACCAAGGACAGCGCCATGGACCGACAGACAACGCAGGTCATGTGACCCGTCTTCTAATCTCTATGAATATCTGGTATGTGATTAGCACATTTCCACAAATGATCTATTTAATGATATTGAATTTTAAATTCGGTGGAGAGAAAGATGACGATATTCACCGATTTCTCTACTATCTTTCACGCAGTCTTTGTTTTCTGAACGCGTGCTCGAATTGGATATTCTATTGTGCATCTGGAAGGCTATTTCGTCAAAGTATCAGACAGATTTTTCGGAGATTTTTCCGGCGACTTCATATGTATTCGGCAAGCCATAGCTCTGTACCGCCTGATCACGGTTTTCACATACGTAATCAATATTACACTGGAACCGATCCATCTGCGGTGAAGAATAGACTCACTGTCCCTTTAGGGAGAAATGTAGTGATATCACGACTGGATTCCCGACATTTTAATCAAATTCAGTCAGTTGAATTTCTGCCAGTGGGCTCTGAAGAGCTTCGTTCAGGTAACCTTCAGTTGACCTGTGGTAATTTTTTTGAACGACTTAACTGTCTTTTTCCCAAATTTCAGTGTCATTGTTTGTGCGTAAGCCCTTTTGAAAACACGGGTACTCCGAATCGGACTGCAGATGAATCGTCCAAGCATTTGTCTGAGGACACCGATGGAACAAAAGCAGTGAATAAGTGTGGGTTGTGTTGTACTGGGATATGTTGCTGGAAATTTTGGTGGTACGGACTGAAAGCAGGCAGGATAAGAAAAGAGTCATTCAGAGAATTTCCCGCAGCTTCATCTTCTTCGTCGCTGCACTATCCAACGGAACTGTTTCGTCGACATTCCCAACTGCGCGCACGTGATTCCGGCAGTCGTTGTCTGGCAAAATCCATCGAACGCGAGTACGAATCTTGGTGCAAGAAAAACCGACCGCAACCAACTGCCTACAATCACGATCGGGGTTACTCAAACGGTAAATCAAGTCGCCGCCCTGAGTGGTTCTATTCTATTCCAGCAGACCTTCCAAAAATTGCTCCTGTGCATAGATCAAAGACTCCACCTTATGGCTCCCAAATTCTTGTTGAACCTTTTTCCGACCACATACTCCAAGGACTGCCATTGAACAGTAATTGCTATTGCTACACAGCATCAGTTGGTAAGCGGAAATACCGTTATTATCACTGTAAACTACATGAGACTTTTTATCCACCGGGTGACGCAGACAAACTCGATAAACCAGGTTCACTGAGTAACGTGCATACCGTGAATAGTGCCGATCACGTGACTCTTCCGTTCAGGAAACTTAGCTGGACGGATAGGAGCAAACTACCCGATGTTCACTGTCTACAAAAAAGTGTCCAACTCAAAGCTAATGTGAAATAAGATTCCAGCGCAGTATATAAACTGATTCATTTGAAATGTGTTATCTTCACAGGCCATTGACCGGAATGGTTTGTAAAATGAGCCAACTGTGGTTCATGATATTTCAGAGTGCTTTTTTCAGGATTATGAACTCTATTTATTTTGTTTCTTTAACCATACGATCTAATTGGTACCCGGTGTTGCTTTTTTGCCCAAAGTGGGATTATGGCAAATTGGTGTTTCTCTGGTGATTAGGTTTTGTAATTAAAATCTGTCCTGATAGAATATCGTTAGAGGTAAAACACCATTTTATGGTTTGTTGAGCTCCTATGCGTTGCTGCGGATGCGGCAGAGACAGAGGTATGAAATAAATGGCTTGATAAGACCATGAAGAGCTTTCCATGGAGACGTGATCCCGTACACAACCTATTAAGAGTAAATCAAAGGCGGGGGCTACAATGAAAAATTCTGAGGAAAAGTGAGGAGAGGGTCACTGAAATGTTGTATCGAGAATTTGTATTCCCATCACTATGTACGATACTTTTCAATACAATTTTTAATACACCAGATGAAGTACAGTAACGCAGTCGTCCGCATTCGTTGATGAATGCAAAAGTGGGTCATAATGCATCCATAATAGGATGCTTGGTTTATCCCTTATTTACTGAGTAGCAGCATGGTTATTAACAAAATGCACTCATCTTGAATGACAGCTAAAAAGCACAAAATTACTTCTGTTATAGCTGTCTTTCCAACCCTGAAAGGCAGTTGAGGCCAACCAATCTTTTGTAGCTATGTGAAACTGGTGATGATGGTCGATATACCTGGCTAAACAAGGACAATAAAGTGATTTATATATCAGGGACAGGTTTTGGCTAATACCTTATAAGATACCTTCATTGAGTGTAACTCCTGGCTTATCCGCATCGAACGTTTATGTACATAAGATTATTGACCAATATGGGAACAGTCCGAAACCATTCAGCGAAGATTGGCTAGTCTTCCAGGTACATTGTCCTTTGAGGTACCTTATTTCTTTGGGCTAAGCTTACCTAGATAACGATGATGCAAAGCGAATCTTCAAGGGAGTCAAGTATCGACTTCGAAAATACCCTGAAGCAAGCCTTTGGGGTTTACTGTGTTTGTAATTGAACAGACTCCATTTTCCTTCTCCACTGGAGTGTTACAATATATGCGGATGAGCGCCCATCGGAACAAACCCAATAAGCCTCAATACTTGAGGAAATAAAATTTGTCACACAACCCCAACTTTCTCCAGGAATTTTTTAAACTTTCTGTTTGATTTATTAATCCATGTGACACCTTCCAGTTTCTGTGACCTAAACTACAAGAACCACCACGAACCCTTCAATAAAAATTGACGTTACACTAAACATCCGGTGCTCTTACTCGTGCTGTTAGTGGTCCCTGCGGTGAGCTCCTGGCCTCGTCATCAGTTTGCTGTTGCTAGCCATCGTTCGACAGAAATTGTGCACCCGTGTCAAGCCACAGCAAATGTTACTTGAGGGAATTAACCTAAATTGGAAATTCATAATTTATTTAAGCCAGATAATCACAGGACGCTTAAGTTGTCTGTATTAGGAAACAGTGGCGACTACAGAACACACACTGATCGAGTGTTTTCTTTTGAAAGCTTTGCGTCGCCTGATTGGATCAATAAACCAAAACGTATCACGCAGATTAGAAAGTGCCAGTTCACATGCTACAGATTTCGGAAGTGCGAATGTGTAATGAGGATCTACGCACGTGGATAAACTGGCTAATAAAGTTTTTGAAACTTGGGTAAGCCAAAAAGTTGTGCAACAAGTACTCTGTTGGCCTCAAGTTAAACAACTTCGTGCATCTGCTTTTAGCCTCACAGAGGGGATAGGTTGCGAAGGTCATTTAATAATAGTTGCTGAAACTTCTGTGTGATACTGTGGGCGTTCCTTTGGGCACACATTTTTCCTCTTCAGTGCCACATTCATGTCTTGGTCAGGCGGAACTTTTGTGGCCATTTCTTCGGTAAGCGGTCGTGCGTTGCTCCATAAGCGAAATTGCTGGGTTAAGACCGATACAGCTATTATCGACGGCGTGATTTCATCCCTTTCTGACTTCACAACCGCTGCTTGTCCCTTAATGGTTCTGAGAATATTTCTGGTGCTATAAATGACATATCGTGTTAGGCCGGTCACATAGTTTCACTTTGGAGGGCAATACATTAGTCTGATTCAGCTGAGAGGCTGTGGTATCCTCATAACCACTTGACTGATCACTTCTCCCTTGCCAGTTGTAACTGGATGATATAAACGACTTTCTAACATTGATACCTGTACACCCTGTTCGATTTACCTAGTGTTCTCGAACTATATATTCCCAAATAATATGGATGCGGTCAACAAGAGGCAACGGGTACATCCATTGAAGAATGTGTCCGACCCTAGGAGCTACGTTGGTTACTTTGTTTGTCTATATTGTACACAACAAACCATCATTTGTCAACGACACTGTTTTCTTCTTTACCCAATTAACAATGGCGGAAATAGAGAGCTGGCCAACCTTTGACCTGACAGATGGGTAGGGAACAGATTATGAAAAGTCTGAGCGCTGTCCGTGTGAGGAAATTTTTTACAACGTGAACCGCTAGATTTCTTCTGCGTGTGGTCGAAAACGCTGCAAGATGTGGTAGCTGCTCGATGTCAGCGGCACTTCTGCAGTCAGTTTCCCACCTAACTCTCTGAAGATTCAATAATCTCGGATAGATGTAGCAAACTGGCTCTAAGTTCATTCCCCGTTCACTTTTGTCCTTTTCTTTTACAACAAAGCTTTGAAATAAGTCCTGGGTGTACGACAGCAAGGCATTAATTTTGAACACTGATGTTATGCTGTTGATTATGATGATGATTATTCAGAAAGAGGCGCTCTTCTTCTCTGGTGTCATTCACTGCCAGTTGTGTATAAACTGGAATTTAAGGCCGAGATACTACGTTGTCGTTTTGTTATAACAGTACTCCAAGTTCGCCTTTTGGGTAACTTCGGAATTCGGTAACTTTGATTAGATTGTTCACTTGTGTGTGGTACGGGGGAAGATTAATTCCAGTGTTGATAGGAGGTTGTGTTCTAATCTACAGAAATCATCGCAACTTCAGGTTAAAATAGTATTCACCGCGACAGTTCACTTTGCTCTAGGCGCAATACTTCACCGTTAACGCTACCAAAAACAACATCGTGCTGGCGTTATTGAGAGAATGTTTATAATATTCTAAGCAGAGTAGAATACACACGGCTGCTACGCAGTTTAATTGATAACCATAATTTCGTTCAAGAATTCCTCGGGAGATCACTAACGCTATCATCCTTCATGGGGATCATCAGTTTTACTATCTAAAGATCAGGAAAATGTTGTATACATGTGGTAAAATAACCATCTGAAATTTCAGCTGAGTCTCTGGTTAAATGTATTTCGTTAAATATTGCTTTTCATTGGAGTAGATGTACTCCCAAATTGCATCATCAGAAAATATTAGGCCGTCTTTGTGCTGTACATCCAGTCAAATTAGATTACAAAAGAGATATTCGGCTCAGGTTTTTCAACACTAATGTGATTTGCTCTTGAACTTATTTCGTTCGCAAATATTTTTTGATGCGCAAAGATACACACAACCGGTGTTAAGTGCTTGGAACTAAATTTCACGGAACAAATGAACTACAGCAAAAATGATTGCGTTCCATTATTGCTGAAACGCGAAAGCACATTTTAAAAGGACCACCCATGTTGAAATTATCTAGATTTTCTCACTTTTGCAATAAAATCCCATAAGCGGTGAAACTGGTTTGTTTTTTATTTCATTCGATGATTCCATTAAACCGCGTAATTCTTGCCAGTACTGCTGCCAGAATATGTTTCGTATAGCTGGAAATATTAAGTAATCATTATTTCAAAGTGCATTGGAACATGGCGGCCAACGTTCTCGGTTTTGCCAGTTAGGTGACACAAACCAACACACACTTTTGGACGAGATAATAAATGAATGGTTCACAAAATAAATCAGGCCATCCACAGCACATCCAATAATAATAAAACTATTTTTTCGGTAACACCTCTGACGCAGTAAAATCGGGAAAATGAATTTCGGAATACAGGTACGACAAATGGGAGATTGTATTCAGCTGGTTGATGCGCTCGAGAAATGCAAAATCAAACTTGCGCTATCGAAGACGAAATTTCTAACTGGTGAAATTAATTCAGTTTTTAACGGGAGGCTAAAGTAAATCTAAGCCATATCTTCTTCCTATGATGTTTTCTCACTGACTCTTGTTTTGGTTGGTATGTATTCCAGGACATTTTCTTGACGGAACAAACTGCTTTCGAAATGTTTTCGATCAAGTTATGGATGTCGGGATCCGTTATAGGGTAAAGGAATCCATAGAGTTTGTGGATTTCGGACAAGTGTTCCAAAAATAACAGACCTCAGTTGACTCATCTTGTGTAAGACGAAACGATCTGTATAATCCCATCTCAACAGCATGCACCAGACATTTCAATCGGATTTGTGGAAGAATTTTTGACAGTCCAATCACTCGTCTAACTGTCACCAAACAATAATTAGACCATCAAGAGTTAAGCTGCATGAATTGCTGTTCCATCATGCTGCGAGCTCATGAATCTCCACCGGCTTCCTTGACTAGAGTGATGCAAGTTTGAGAACCTGAGACAACAGTAACTAGTTACTCCAGTGAATCAGTCGTTCGTGTCTGTCAAAGGTTTGTTGAGGAATATATCCCCACACCTTGCATACGATTCGGATCAAAACATGGGATAACCTTTGCGTAGGCAGTTTGATTGGACATTGTGACAAATTATTGGGATGATTGAATTTCTAATTGAAATGGCCTCAATTTGCAAACGATCCAGGATATCCATATAAGTTTAATTTGGTATGGGAGTACAAAACAGGAGTGGTAAACACTTAAAAATTACGGCTACTGGGAGTCCCCAAAACAGTCAATCAAATCCGCAA